GTGGTGGCACAGAGTTCCCCATGTCGTATGGATACGATAGTAAAACAAGACGTACGGATAGGGTTAGGTGGTGGCACAGAGTTCCCCATGTCGTATGGATACGATAGTAAAACAAGACGTACGGATAGGGTTAGGTGGTGGCACAGAGTTCCCCATGTCGTATGGATACGATAGTAAAACACGACGTACGGACACAGTAAAAGAAAAGTTAGTTTTACCCCCTACGTTTAACAACAACATAGCCCTTTTTGTTGAGCACTCTCATATAAAAAAAGTAAAATTAAGTTGTTCCCTCATCCGATCCGGACATTGGGGATTGCCTTGTTAGTGAGACAACTTCCTGGGCCTTCGGCATATTGTGGTGGGGTGGCCAGTTCCTTTCCACGCCGCCTTTACTTCCCCAACTTGAAGTCAGGTACCCATTACTGCTGGGTGGGCAGGAGGGGGCAAAAAAAAGCCATGTCTGAACCGAGGCTCGAACTCGGACTTTCCATTTCAAAGACGAGTGCACTAACTGCTCCGACACCGCACCTTCACTCTCATAAAAGACAACAAAAATATATCTATCCTTTTTTCCATTTAAAGAACAGAATTGACTGTGAAACAAAAATAAACTATGTCTCCATCTCCTATCATGTACAAAAAACCCCAACCACAACAAAGGTGCCAACTGACTTTTTTAAAAATAACCCCCCCCCCCCCCCCCCAACAAAAAAATCCCACACTATTCTAACTGTGTGGAAGCATGCATGTGGGCATGTGGGGGACTAAAACTTAAATCATATCGTGCAAATCTTGCATCAAGACTATACATAGTGCAATAGCAATAGATCTAGATGACAAGGTAACAACTGTCACCCAGTTCATTATAAGGTACCAATTGTAAGCAGAGTTCATCACAAGGTACCAATTAATTGTAAGCCCAGTTCATCACAAGGTACCAATTGATTGTAAGCAGAGTCCCTGACGGTATATCCTACCTGCCCGACTCTGACGGTGGTGGGCAGCGGCCGGAGCTGCTCGTCAAAGGTGACTAACATGCGGGGCTGCATGGCCGAGACCAGGTTGTACAGCATGTAGTGGGACTTGCCGATGATGACTGGTGGAGGGGGTGGGGGG